AAAAAAAAAAAAAAAAAAAAAAAAAATTGCACGTATCGTGCGTTTCGTACCGATACGTATCGTATCGTAAAAACGTATCGTGTATCGGACGATACAATGCAAAAACGATACATAACTACGATCCGTATCGTTTTAGGGCTGTATCGTAACGTATCGCGTATCGTACGATACTAACAACTATGCTCGTGTACTTGTATGACTTTTAGTACAAGGTTTAGAGTCCATCATGAGGGTTGCTTGTTGGGTTCTGCTTGTGCCCGTAGCTACCTTCATTAGGTGTCCCCGACTGAGTTTAAAAACCACCAAGGCAAAACAATACTAATACCTGATTATGCATGCTCGAATATAGGCTATAATTTTGATTATCAACGAAACATATATCTTTATATTAAGCAGAGTATTTAAATGAAACAAATGATGTTCATGCAGGGAAAAGTGGGATCTCATCACTGCAAATTGTTGCCATTGATGTTCCAATTATTGTCGCCGTGTTGCTGTTCATCATAGGCTTCTGTTTCCTCGTTAGGAAAGCAAAGAAGAAGAACTACGACACTGTCATGGAAGAAACTGGTAAAAGAAAAGGAAATAAGATGAAAAACAAAAAGGAAAAGAATAAAGAAGNTTTATTTCAGGGACGACTCAATCAAGTCAATTAAAAAATAAGTCTGATTCAGTTATTGAATTATAACCTCGATAGTATTGCAAGTTACCGATTATATNCCGCTCTTGCTTAAACCATTTGCTACCTCAGTGATCGCATTAATGAATTTCCTTACATTTGTTGGTATAGAAACACATGATATCACAACAGTTGAATCATTGCAATATGATTTGAATACAATTCAAGTTGCCACGAACAACTTCTCCAGCGAAAACAAACTTGGTGAAGGTGGATTTGGTGACGTTTACAAGGTAACAAAGGAGTTCCTGTACTTCATTTAAAGTATGCCAAACGATGATCATTTTAAAGATCATTTTTTTTTTGTCTAAATTCATAATATTAATTCATTGATTATTTTACACTCAGGGTACCCTTCCTTGTGGCGAAGAGGTGGCAGTGAAGAGACTCTCAAGAAGCTCGGGGCAAGGTGCAGAAGAATTTAAGAATGAGGTTGTANTACCCTTCCTTGGGGCGAAGAGGTGGCAGTGAAGAGACTCTCAAGAAGCTCGGGGCAAGGTGCAGAAGAATTTAAGAATGAGGTTGTATTGCTAGCCAAGCTTCAACACAGGAATCTAGTGAGACAATTGGGATATTGCTTGGAAGGAGAAGAACAGACACTCCTCTATGAATATGTGCCCAACAAAAGTCTTAACTACTTTTTATTTGGTTTGGCAAATCTTACCCATTTCTAGTTCTTGAATTAGCTGTGTTTAAATTCACAATACATGGCTTGCATGATAGTACATTTGCTGAACTCAATCAACCCTTCCTCCTCTCCCAATTGTGTGTGTTTGCTTTTTGTGTGTTGGGGGGGTGGGGGGGAGAGAGAGAG